ATTGTCCCAAACTACCAAGCCTATGTTTCTGACTGGAAAGTGGTGTAGCCGTAGAGCTTCAGGAAGAGTTTTCTAAGCCTTTTTGATGCCTTTTTTTTTTTTTTTTTTACAGAAGTCTTCAGAAATTTCTTTTGATTGTCTCTAGAATTTATGTGGGAAGAATTTCACTGTAATGAGGGAAGTCAAAGTTCGAAGTTTATCTAGGGCAGAGGTGGCCCAAAGTAGCCCTTATTGTTTAATAAATACCCCTAGTTATCTCTTTAATCAAATTAACTGAAATAGGGGGATGATTACTTTTTTATCCTTGCACACTATCTATTTGTGAAATAATGAAACAAGATCAAATGTTAGTGCCATTTGTTCTGGCAGACTTTATATATAACAGGACCCACCCAAAGGTCTGATAACATTCATGGCAAAGATAGGCAAACATGCAGAAAATCCAAATATTTTTTTACAGAATCATATTGCAACCGGAGGACTGTTTTTCCACCATTCTTTCTCTCACCTGAAGCTAAAAGAACCGAGTTTTAAAGGGTAAGATGGCTACCAAGTTTTTGTTTTCTGAGCAACAGTATCTCATTTCAAAGCAAAGCAAGACAGCAAACTGGCTTCTCTACTGTGAAAAAAGGATAAATAAATCAAGCTGCTTAGTAATAGTAGGAAAATATGTAACACCCGTGTGAATCTCACCTTTGCCTTCTGAAGCACATGGCCTCGGCATGGAGAGGTGCTTGAGGAGGAATGTCTTTTCAGGACAATTGCACTGTTCACAGGCATAGAACATTCTGTATCACTTGTATCACAACTGGAGATGGGTGAATTCTCCAGTGTCTGATGCTTTAGAACTGGGGACTGAATAATAAATAGAAAACAACCTGAAATCACAGCTATCAAAGGTTGTATCAACAGTTCAGCTACTATCCTGGCTCTCCAAGAAGAGAATATAATCCTACCGGGCAAATGCAAAGATTGGTTTGAAGAAGCAAGATAACAGCTTAAGATTGGCAGATACAGAGTCAGGAATATTTGCATACCTTCAATGAGTTAACTTTCAGAGCCATATAACTTGAATCCTAGGGGTAGTGAAGGAACTTACTTATATCTGGCTGAGCCTCTGGCCATTACCTTTGAGCATGGAACACTGGACTTATCATGAAGTTCCTTTCCTACTATGCAAGGAGGATATTCTGAGCCATGGTGCACAATGGTTTTTTTCTCCCTTTAGCTTATTTAAGACTACCCATAGATTCTGCCATAACAAATAAGCAGTTAACTGAAAATGGAAGTGAAAATTTATAACTGCCTTATGGTCATGCTAGAGGAAAAGAATGTAAGTAATCCTCAAACCCTAAAGTGAAACAGAACTCCAAAAGGTGCTGAACAGATTGAGTTAGTGCAAATTTGTGGTACAAATCTCTTATTGCGTTCCTTTGAAGCACAATGGACATATGGACAGCGTTCAGACCATCTACCCCCACCCTGAACATACTTAGGGCTGCACTCTACAGTGTCTCCATGTTGATTATACGGCAATGGTTGGTACTGCTACCAGCACAGTGCTTTATCCTTGCAAAAGGCAAGGTTGGTAAAGACAGATTGCCCATAGATGGGTAGAGAGAAAGATCAATGGGTCTACCAATAATGCCATTGCCACTCTCTTTTTCTCCTGCTCTTTCTTTCCTCCTATCCCTAACAATGCTTCGTCTGACAGTCCTACAGCCAAGCATATAATAATGAGGCCAAGGGATGTGGGAAACCATAAATGTGCTAAATTTTGTGAATGAATCGTTTATTTAATGAGATGTGTTTAATGTTTTAAATACTGTTTACTTTGTCTTGTCCCTACCCACTATTTTCATAATACTTTTTAGCCTATGACCCTCAAATATACATACATACATACATATTTGCATTAGCACTGTCACAGCTTGCTACTTCCTGACTTCTGCTGATCCCATTTGTTTGTATGAGTAGTTAGGATTTTTGGTACCACTGTGGATCACTTTACACTTGCTCACACTGAATTACATCTGCCATTTTGATGTCCTGCTCCCCTAATGTGCAGAGATCCCTTTGGAACTCTTCACAGTCCTTTACTTTTTTTTACCATTCTGAGCAATTTAGTATCATCAGCAAACTTGGCTATTCCACTAGTCTGCCCAATTCCAAATCATTTATAAAAAGCACTGGTTCTAGGAGGACCCCACTAGCTATATCCCTCCACTGTGAGCAATGTCTATTTTACTCCTACTCTTTGTTTGCAATTCTTTACCAAGCTGCTTACCCATAAGAGGACCTGCCCTTTTATCCCATGGCTGTTAAGCTTACTGTGAAGTCTTTGATCATGGACTTTATCAGACACTTTTTGAAAAACTAAGTAGATGATGTTTACTGGCTTGTCCTTGTCCACATGTTTATTAACACCCTCAAAAAATCTAGTAGATTAGTTAAGACAGGACCTTCCCTTAGTGAAGCCATGTTGAATATCCTTGACCAAGGCCTTTGTCTCCAAATGTTTGCTAATTTTATCTTTAATAGCAGTTTCCACTAACTTCCCTGGAACAGATGTTAAGCTGATAGACCTATCATTTCCTGAACCTCTCTGTGAGACCTTAAAAATTAGAGTTACATTGGCCCCCTTCCAGTCCTCAACTACAGAGGCCAAGTGAAGAGAAAAGTTGCATATTTTAGTTAGAAGGTCCATCAACTCAGATGTGTTTAATTTTTAAAATATATTTTCTCTTGTCTCCATCCACATTTTCATACAACTTTTTCAACTGTGGCCCTCAATATGCTACTTAGGTCCAAGGCAGCCCTCAGATCACATAAAAAAATTCCCCATGTAATAACAGATCTAAGTTAGCAAAAGTGTGCAAACAAATGACAGATGTGAGTTCTGAACCTCATATGTGGAGCATGATAGGCAGTAATTATTTAAAAATAATGAAATACTTAAATGATTTATAAAAATACATTTTGTAGTAGAATCTATGCAGTATTCTAAATAACCCAAGACTTAATGCTGAAGATAAAGCATTTTTCCACATAATGGCTAAAATCAAATGAAGAGTAAAATGGGAAATGGACCTCTTTTTAAAACAAAATGGATAAACTGTTTAAAGTAACAAAACTGTATGTATAATGATATAAAAACAATGTCCTAACAGTCATTTTTGATAACAAGATCAGAAACAACATTTAAATTAAAATACCTGTGCAGCTAAGCTCCGCGATTTAGGTTCAATGGCCAATCCTAGTGTAATGCCTCCAGCCAAGGCTTTTTTCAAATTCTCTTTCACCTCTGTCAACTCTAGTTCCAGAGACACACGTTCAGACTCTTTCAACTTACACTCTTCTTCCAACTTCTTTAATTTATCTTCAAGAATTATTAGGGATTTCCTGCCTGAAATCCAGAGGCGAGAAGTGATCTTTAAGGTGGGGATAAAACTGTACATTCTGTTCCTAGACCAAAGGCTGAGAAGTTGGATACTGAAGCCACTTCACAGCAGGCAGCTTCAGAACTGAGTCATCATTCATAAAATAAAAGTTACTGTAATCTGATCAGCCACAAGAATATACCCAAGTTTGTTTGTTTGTTTATTTATAATTTCAATTTTTACTGCTACCCACCTCAACATTACTCTGGTAAATATTCTATAATTAAAATACAAGAGTTCAAACTGCACCAGCAAATTATTTCCAAAATAGGCTATATCTAGTGCTATGACTATTCATCAGTATAAACTAGCCCTTGAGCATTTAACTCCTTTAAAATGATCCAGCCTGGCAAATAAAATGGTATAAAAATAAAGCTATCTGTAACACAGGACTACCTTGAAAGCGGCAGCCCCATGCTAGACAGGTCCCTCCTCTTTTGTAACATCATATATACAACACAAATGCTGTAAAACAAACAAACAAATAAGGATCTCTGCCCCCCTCTCTATACAATTAGCCGTCACTGAAAAGAATACTAAAACGCATTGTCTAGTTACTTTATCAGCATACTCAAATTTTAATTGAATATTATAAAGGATCAGAAACTTGGCTTGGAGCAGCAGTTTATGTGTTGGTCTTATCTTTGTATTGCAAGCTCCCCTAAGTTATAAACAGGAGGTGATTTCTTTTTCTTCTCTGTTTCTAAGCCTGCATCTTTTCGTATGAAAAAAAGAGCAAGAACATTACTTCTGATGCTGAAGGCACTATTCCCTGATACTTTGATTATAAAACAAAATGAAGTGCCTGACATACCAGGATTCATTTCGAGGGCTGCCCGAAGATCTTTCCTTTCCTTTCGTAGCTGAGCCAGGTGATTCCTCAGGATTTCCTTTTTCTTTAACAGCTCCTCCTCTTTTGTTTGTAATCTCTTCGCATCTGCTTCAACACGATTCTTTCCGTATTTGTATTGATCTGCATCTGCACAGAAGTTTAATTATGAGATATTTGAACTAGGAATCTTATGAGTCAGAATAAGCCAAATCTGGGCATCCCAATTACTTATCTGTCTGTCATTCTGTCCATCTGTCTGGAATCAAATATTTCAATAAATATTTGTTTTACTATTACTCTCTATTTGACAACATACCTTTACCTCCTTGGTTGCTATTACATCTTCAATCACTCCAGCTTTAGTCCAACAAAAACCTTCTTCAAGTAGCTAAAAGTATGTCTTATAAACACCTGATACACCTGAGCAATCATCCAGATAATACCAACCATACCAGCCAAATTACACCGAAAAAGTGTCCAAAAATTCCAAAGCTTTAAATATGAATATTGAAAAAGAAGGAAGAACTTAACTCAAATTTTCTATTTGTTCCTCCCATATTGTGCTGGAAAAGTAAATAAGAGAGGAAAGTAATAAAAAAATTGATCGTGAAGAGATCATGAAGGATAAGGACATTTTTATGACAACTGGGAGCAGAACAATTAAAACAATGATTTTCCACTGACAATATATAACTGAGAAAATTAGACATTGAGAAATAGTGAAAGAAGACAGACACTGTTGAATTACAGATTTGGAGAGTAACTAGGAGTACCACAGACTGCAAGAAGAACCAATCATTTGGTCTTGTACAAACTAAATACTGACTGCTTCCCTGAGAAAATGATGAGCATGAAGAAACTCACACACTTTGGGCATATGATGCAAGTGTGATCCAAGTATTTATTTTTTGTATTTATAAAATAAATTATAATAATGGAGTAGGAAAAAGTAACTATGCCTGGCAATATTAAGCAAAGTAGAAAGATAACATAGAGGGACAGGATCAGAAAAATCACTGTTAGTATATAGAAGACACATTGGACATCAATTTATGAATGAAAATGCTCACTCATAAGTGACCTTATTGATCAAAGAGTCATCACTTACAACCCTTCTTTCTTGTTCTGCATGTAGTTAGTAAATTTATACAAAATATGTAGACACTGCAATCAAAGCTTGAGTGAAAGATGCTTACCCATTCAAGGGAAGGACAAGAAAATGGCATCACTTATTAAATAATTTATTTAGTCCTAAATTATACATATTAACATAGAACTCTTTCAGAAAGGAGTCATCATTTACAAATAAATCTAATTAAAAAATTGGTTGTTTAGTCCCCCCCCTATAAATCAGAGGTTCCCTTGTGAAAAGGAACTGCAGACAGAACTTCTACATTCTGCAATCCATTCTTATCTGTGAGTAAGCCCAATGGAACGTAATAGCTTTTGATTCTGGAGAAGCATATTGTCAAAGATGAGTGAATTCACATGGATTCAATTCTTATTTGGCTTAATTTTTCCAAATATTCTTGAGATACCCTTACAAAAAGCTTATCCAGACTTGTAATGTTGAAATAAGAATGCTGAGAGTGACTTATATACGCACTTTAGTGCAGAGTTCTCCAGGAACAGCAGTTAGGTTGCTATCACACATCATTAAAACATTAGCAGTCATGGAATTTAATCACTGCATGGCAACTCATGTGATCAGAGTAAATTGCAACTGCAAAGTGGAATAGCAGAGACTCTCTCCCATGTTATTCTTAAACTGATCAGCTTAAGTACAGTTCTTCAGAAATTACTTATGATCCATCAACTTGAATTTCCCACTTAGAACACTGATGATCATGATGGATAACCTTGGTTTTGGCAATGAGATTTCTGTGTGAGCAATCATTTATCTCATGGGATATATTTATCTAACATGCCCAAAGAATTATTTTACCTGGTTAACTTCATATAGTTTAAAAGAATAAGACAATTTCAAAGAAGAAAGAAATAAGGAATACTCACTAGAGCTACTACGTTTCACATTTGAAGCAAATTCTGATTTTTTTGGTGAATTACTTAATGTTCTTCCTTTTCCTGAAATTCCATTTGCAGCTACTGGCATCTTCTTTCCTTTAAACTGTTAGGAAAATCAAACATGTATTTATCGCTAAATATTAGGTGCAGTTTTCTTACAACAGTTGAAATGAAAGGAGGTAAATACTGCTTAAAAGTTTAAAATCAAAGTAGTTAGAAAAACATGCTTCTGAAACAACAAAAGCATCTATTGTACTTTTTGAAAATAAATAAGAGATGAGACCACATAACATTTAAAGCATAATTTTTTGACAAAGGGCCATATCACAAAATAATCACAGGAAGATGTACTAACCCTGAAGCTTCAGAAAACTTGGACTGATTTCTTGAGGCAGGAAATGAATTGGCAATAAAATCTTAAATTAACGTCAGCCTTTATAAGAACTGCAAAATGTTCAGAACAAAGTTGCAATGATTGGGACAATGGGACATTTTGCAAAGTGTGAAAGGAAATCTGTTTTTAATTTGACAAGAGCAGAACTCCAACATTTAGACTTACATTTTTTGGATTTACAGAATAACTATTTACAAATTGTTTGTTTATGGTTCAAATATGACAAGTTGAAATGTGAAGGGACGTTAATTTATATGTTATATTATTTTGCCTTAGAGCTACATTGGTTCTTGTGAGTCATTAAAATGACTTAAGGAGACAATATCTGTGTTCGTCTGATTTTTCTGAATCTTCAATTACTCATTTCAATATCAGACACTCTTCAAAGAATGTTACATTATATTTTCTTGAAACAAGCAACAATCATTATTTTGCAGTGCATTCAATACAATGAACCGGTTAAAAGAAAGTGATTCCTCTAGCAACTAATTTCATTATTATTTTAAATTTAAACAGATCTTCCTAACCTTAGGACAAAACTTTTGGGCAAATTTCAAATTTGCTTTCTAAAGAAATATACAAGCAAATGGTACACTGCAGAAGAATGACTGTTTCACTCCCAAAATGGAAAAGCTGTAAAGCTGAGACTATAACAAGGCATAAAATATATGGCCAATTTGTCAATAGCTTCTCCCATCCTCCATTACTTATGTGAACTGCATTATTTCTCTTATACTTCCAAATGTGAAACAGATTTGCAGAAGGTTTAGAAAGATCAAATCCCCAAAGATTTGAAAGTGAACAGAACACAAAACTCAATGAAGCATATTCATTTGAAGCTATTTTGTATTCAAATAAGTTGACTGTTTCTGTTAGAATGAAAGGAGACTATCTGCATAACACAGAACAGTAGGAATTACCCAGGCCACAATAATAATTCAAACTCAATGCACTAAGTGCAGATATTCAACTACAGTGGTACCTCTACTTACGAACTTAATCTGTTCCATGACTCTGATCGCAAGTCGAGCTGGTCGCAAGTCGAAGTAAATTTTCCCATAAGGTTCAATGTAATTACCGTTAATCCGTTCCGGCATCCGCGGACCACGCGTCAGGGGCGGAAAAACAGCCGCTGACCACACGGCAGGGTGGAAAAAATGGCCGCGGACCATGTGTTAGGGGTGGAAAAACGGCCACGGACCACGTGGAACGGGCAGAAAAATGGCCGCGGACGTGGAACGGGCGGAAAATGGCTCGTAAGTCGAGGCGAATTCGTAAGTAGGGGTAAATTTTTGGGGCCGGAGCTGATCTTATCTCGAAAATTTCGTAAGTAGGGGCGTTCGTAAGTAGAGGTACCACTGTACTCTGTACACTTCTAACTGCACATACATAAGTACAGAAATATTTGTGGGCTAGCTCAACTTTAAAGTTGACCATTACCAGCAACTTAATTTCAGCTGTTGAGGCAATCATACTGCTAAGCCACCAAAAGTATGTATCCTTCTAAATTTTCTCCATGTAGAATCCAAGCTAGTTTTATCTAACCTGATGCCCTTCAGAAATGTTACAGATGGAATTCCCAGAATCTTAAAGGAAAGCCTTGAGTTCTGAGCTGTAGTGCTAGTCTGGAGGGCACCAGGTTGGAGCAAGCTAAGTTGGACCAAGAATTTTTAAAAGAAAAATGCATAGGTTTCTAAGATGTTATTCTCATATCCAATATTTCTAAATTAAAAATAACAATTTATGTGACATTGCATTATTTAGCTCTATTTAACCGCAAGTATTTAATGGTCAGTACATAAAAGCAAGGAAAAAAAAGTCTGATTAAAAGAATTAAGCATCCCAGTACCTGTGCAACAGATCCCCTCCCCACAGCAGAGGTATTAGTGATAGACTGAGCAGAAGACAGATTGGATGAGATAGGATATTTATAATGGTTAGATGACAGTTTGTCAGTAGTTAACCTATTGGTTTTTCGCTCTGCTGGTGGACAACGTGCAAAAATTTTCGGAGATGGCAAGTTATCATACAGGCCCATGTTATCATAAAGCCCATCTTCTCCTGTGTTTCTGCTACAAGAAGGAGGAAAGCCATCTTCTGGTTCCCACTGCAATACATATACTTAGTAAATTAGCATAATCCATGCACTGAAAAAAATGAAATCATTAGAAGGTTAACTGAGCAATTAAGAACCCCCCTCCAACCCTCAGCAGGATTTCCTTCTCTAGTGGCTCTATATTTTTATTCTAAAAGAAAATATGAAAATTTGCTTTTATTTTACAGTGACTATATTAAAATGGAAATCTTATAAATCCCAATTTCTAAACATACTGCTGAAAAGGATAGTAAGGAATAATGCCATTCAATATCTATTATCTATGTTGCCTGGCTTATTGAGCCTATAATGTAAGTTTCAGTAAGATATGCAAAACACCCAACTACTGAGTTGAAACCACAAATTAACAAGAGGCAAATTTTGGTCTTTCCCATACTAAAATTTAGATAAAGTTCCCCTTCTCTTCTCTTCCACATCTTGGTGCAAAGCAGGCTTTTGATTTCTTACACCAATTTTTATCATTTTGATTTAAGAAGTTTCTACAAATTAGAGTTTCGAATTAGGTTATTATACTGATTCATAATCAGTTTTGAATCACAGGATCCTCATTTGGATATCACAAGAAACAGAGATTTAGAAACCAAGAAACCATCTCTGCAGGTGAATGCCTGACAGGAAGACAGAAGCAAAGAGGTCAAGAAGTAAATGTGTATGGTCCAACCAATCATATGGTTGGAGCACCTTTTATTCTTAGGTCAATGTATCTGAATAATGTGTTAGTACATTAATTTCTTTGTCAAGTATTATGGGAGAATTGATGTAGCTTCTAATTGTTTTTTTTTTTGAGGATCTAATACATTCATTGAAAGATAAAGTACACAGTAAGTTAGAAAGCAATCAGAAGCAATTTCAGCCAGTATTTATTGTAACTACAGGTAACAGATAACAGTATATAGTTGATATTTTAAGATGAACTTTTGTCTTTTTGACCCTCTCCTAAAATGGATGGATAACTACTATAAGAAATGTAATTATTTATTGAAAGGGGGAACTATCATATGGTAATGTTGCACTTGTAGGATAAACTTGGACAACCACAGGGTCAATCAATTTCAGAGACTGGCTGGGGAAAACTCAAAACCTTTCTGCCTAAACATTTATACTATCCTTTCCCAAACTGATGCACTCTACATATGGTGAACCATAACATTCAGAATCCCTACATAGGAATGATCACTGGATAGTCTGGACATATAGTTCAGCAAGTTTGAAAGGCATTCAGCTGGGGAAGACTGCATACAGTCTTATATTATTGTAAGGCTAAAACAGAAAAATCCCTAGTTTCCTTAGAGAAGGAGCAGGATGAAAACATAACACATGTTTACCACACTCATTTACTGTGCAGTAGGATCCACTGAAATCAATGAGACTTGCTTCCAAGAAAATAATACAGCATTGAAATAATGCAATTTCTCTTTAAAACCACAATGATACATGCAGACTCCTCAAAGATTCAAACACTGCTTGTCAATTGTATATATTTAAATTATTTGGTGCATAGTTATATCAAGATAATTTCTTCTAACCATATATTGGAAGCTTTCAGGTGCATCAGAGAGAAATGATAAAACTACAGCTACTGAATTCAGTGAGACATGGTCTCAAGACAAATATGCCTAAGAATCTACCCCAGTCATTCCAATTTTTCAAATATTTGTGATTACAGGTAGTCCTAATTTAGTGACCGGAATTGGGACCGGCAACTCCATCACTAAATGACATGGTTGCTAAGCGAAACATCACATGATTGCAATGGGCTTACAACCTTACTTCTGCTGTGGTTGTTAAGCAAATCACCGTGGGTTGTTGAGCGAGACATCACGAGACCCTGATTTGTGATTTTACTGCCGGCTTCTCCACTGACTCTGCTTGTTGGAAGCCAGTTGTGACCACGGGACATTGTGACAGTTGTAAATGCGAGGACTGGTTGTAAAGTTACTTTTCAGCACTGCTCTAACTTCAAGCAATTGCTAAACAGGGCAGTCGTTAAGTGAGGTCTACCTAGAGGATATATATATAGAGAGGATATATATAGAATAAAAAGTGCATGAAGGCAAATGAGTTATAGCACCATTTTTCCATTATATTTTTCCATATTTTAGCCATGGTGCATGCTTAATCAAACCCTTGCTTTGATTTTTCTCTGGAGAGTTGCATTATTGCTTTGGCTTAAATTAAATGAATCAAGGAATACAGGCATAAACATATTTGTTTTGGCTTACACATGCAGGTAGTACTGAAACAATATCCCCCACATCTGTAGATGAGACACAGCAAAACTTTGCAATAACATCCAGTGATATTTAGTTAAGTAGCTTCATAGGTTTTTGGAGGCTCAACAGACATAAATTATTTGACCTACACAAAAATCAATTCTTACTGATCCATTTATGCACGGAACATCATCATAATGAAGTGCCATCCCGCTGGGACACGCATAGCCATTAGCAGCATTTCCTCTATAAGGATTAGTAGAAAGAACCCGTCTGTTCATAAAACTGAAATACAAAAACAAAACAGGACTACAAATAATTAGTTCGCTTTGAAAATACACGTCTTTTTATAAAGTAAACACACTTTTCCATAAATTGTCTCATGTGTCTCCTTTCTGTTTATCTTCTAAAGGGTTTCATGTTATAGAACACAAGCTACACGGCACCGCAAGCTGAAGCTTCATCAGAAAGCTTCAATCTTTACTTACTCGTGCGTGGGAAGGGGCACAAATTATTAAATCAAAAGACGGGCAATAACTTTAAAGGGCAAAGTTGAAGATATAGGCTTGTTCAATGGAAAAACTTCTCAGGAAGGAACACATAGTTATAGAAATGAGTATGTTCTTTCAAGTGCTATCAGCAAGTGGCTTTAGGTTTTCTAATCACAATGTATAACTACAAAGAGACAAACTACCCAGAATAAGAGATGGGACAATCTCAGTAGAAAGCACTGTAATGCACAGGCTGTCTTTGATTTTACAAAGCCAATCTTTCCTTGGAACCAAGAGCTTGGTGTGACTAGTCTGAGACAGCATAAAAGTCAGCTTTTCGCTTTTTGCTGAAAAGAAAAGAAGATATAAAGTTTGAATTTGGCCAAAAAAAAAAAAGAGAAGTCTGGCAGTTTAAATGTTTTCCTTATTCTTGGGGGACTCTGTGATGCTTTAGGACAGGCATTGCCTGTTTCTATTTGTGGTAAGAAGGATAAACAAGTTTAAATCCACTTGTATTTTCTTTTAGGAAGACTGACCTTCCCTCAGTATCCATATTTTAAATTCTCATTTAGTGCTGCCTTGGACAAGTCACATCATTCAAAAAACCCTTATAAGAATTACAGGCTGAACACGATAAGTAACTATTATGAACTATTATGAATTGCTCCAACAAATATCTATGTAATGATTCGAAAAGTAAACTTTCAGGAGCAGTACATTTTGCCAGCACATTTCCAAAATGTTGTTCTGGTATGATAACCAAATCCAATTTAAGTAGCACAATCCTAAAAGAAATGCAAGGTTTGTTTTTGCAGATATTCTTAGTTTTGCTGAGAGTTACTAAATACAACAATACATCATATTAGATTGTAAATATATTGCACTGAAAGATTATTACCCTCTGTACAGGTATTCCATTCCCAAGGTCTGTCCTTAAGTCAAATTTGTATGTAAGCCGGAACAGTATTATTGTGTAACACTGTATAAGTTGTATTGTGTAATTAACTTGAACCATTGTGTGTTTAACTCAAATCACTGTGTATTTCACTTGAATTTTGCTACAATAGGCTCTGTTCTTAACTATGGGTCGGTCTTAAACCGGACGTTCTTAACTACCTGTAGTTTGTAACTCAATCTCTCTTAACAAATTGGGAAAATGTAATAGTCATTTAAATGGGCCATAAGTTAATTGAAGGGCTTCAGCCTTGCACTAATTGATCAGACAAGCTCATTATAAAGCTCAAGGGCTGCAGTTCTTTGGTCCCTGATTAGGGGGATAATGTTGTGGGAGTAAGTATTATGGGGAAGTTCCATCTTTCTGCACGATGGAGGTGACAACTGGATGTTTTCTCTCTAGTGTAGTAAAAACCTTCATTATCATAATACCTCTGCAGTAGAAAGAAAGATGGAATCACAGAGGTAAATCAAGGAGATCCCTTGATCCACAGAATCTGAAGTTCCCCATCTCCTCTGCATGTCTTAATGTCAATCCCATTGGTGCAATTAATTCCTTTCTCTAGTTGTAAGAGAACTACAGACGGTCCTTGGGTTACAACCACTTGTTCAGCAACCATTCAAACTTACAACAGCACTGAACGAGTGGTAGCTATGACCGTTCCTTGAAGTTCGCAGCCTCTCTGTGGTCATGTGATCATGATCCAGGTGCTCAGCACCCGGCTTGCAATTACAACATCACAGCGAGCAGCAGTCATGTAATCGCAATTTCTGACATTCCCTGCTGGCTTCCCACAAGCAAAGTCAATGGGGAAGCCGGCAGGAAGTCAAAAGTCACAGTCACGTGAGGTCCTTGCTTAATGACCCATGCGGTCCTCGCTTAATAATGGCACCCAGGACTGCTGGAACTGCCATTGCTAAGCAGCACAGTGATGTGATGTTGCACTCTACAACCGTGTTGCTTAGTGATGGCAATTCCGGCCCCAATTACCATCGTAAACCAAAGACTACCTGTAAAATGAAAAAGAGCACAACAAAATACCAACACTACTTATTGCATCTTAGTTGCTGTGAGTTGCCAGTGTTTTAAGTGCCCTGGATGTTTTGCCACATACATTTTAAGTTAAGTACAACTGCTCTGTTTAGCAGCCTAAATGATGTTTTCCCTTTAATGGACTAACAATGATGAAAAAGTATGGGTAGCGAGCCCAACCTTAGAAAGGACAGCATCCATTCTCCCAGAGGATGCGCAAAATGTTCCATGAACAAAATGTTCCATATGCTGGTTTCATGTGGTCTATGCCTGGACTTAAACATACATATTTCTGATGGTTTGATCTGTGCTTGGAATGAAATGGGACTCTTTTGATCTGGGCAGAAGTGGCTCAGAATGAGGTGGGGTGGGGTGGGAGAGGCAGGGAAAAAGTGTAAGACAATGGTAGCTGAACAGAGGCAGGGAGACAAGGAAGGGAAGGCACTGGGAAGGGATTTAGGATTATGGTGGGCTATGCCATGCTGGGACATTGGCAGTGGCAAAGGTAGCGATTCAGGGGAAGGAAGTCAATGTGAGGCAAGGGCTCCAATGGGATATGCCATGCTGGGACTTGCTATGGTGTGGTTGGGAGAGATGGAACATGCTCCAGTCTTGCCCTTGTCCAGAACTTGTGCCATCCAAACCACAGAACAATCAAAGCATTCAAGGTTTCACTTCTGTAGAACTGCGCCTGATGTAAAATGGTCTATCAGGTCTTCCAGAATGCCATGGTTTGCTGCAGGTTAAAAACTAAACATCTTACCTATTTCCTACATGCCCCTAGTTCTAAGATTATGTTTTGCATCATCAAAAAACAAAGTAGTTCTGGCATGAGAACTATTATTTTTATCCATATGCAAATTTAAATGATAAAGTAACACTGATTAGTCAATTAATGTTTATTTACTTGGGTTACAAGTCTACTTGACATCAACCTTTTGTGGAGCTTTTTTTTTAAACTAAACACTTTTTTTACTTTAACATTAATTGTCAAATAAACAATTAATATTATGACTCTTAACATGTTTACTCAGATGTAAATTTCACTGGCTTTAACAGACCTTATTTTTTACTGCAACAATAAAGAAGGGCTGGTAAAGAAGCTAGACCTCCAGATGTTGCTAGATTTTAAATTTGATTATTCCCAATTACTGATCATGAAGGCTGGAGCTGATGAAAATCCAGTGTTACACCATAGATTGGTCACAGATTCCCTACTCAAACATGTCTAGCGTAATTGCTTGATGAATTGCAAACTGGTATATTTGTAAGTAGGGGCATGTATTGTTATATTTTGCCTCTCAGCTTCGAGCAAGCAAATCCATACTTGGGGTACATGGTATTATATAATTTAGGAAGCACATTCCATGCTGGCTCTCACCATCTCACAGGTTTCTGGTCCAATGTCTAGTAATAAATAAGAGTTCAGATTTCTCAACTCCAAAACAAAAACACTGAAAAAGCCAGAGTCCTTGAAAATGCTCTCAACTGATTAACTCCTCCTACCAGAATGTTTGCTTTGCAGCTTGAATGACACTGGCTGTCACATCCACATCTATGTAGTCATAGTGCAGAGTGCCAGGATCTGCAGATGAACCACTCTCAGCCAGCAAAATCCCAATCCACCTGCCCATATCTTCTGAAGATGAAGCCTACATAAAGAGAAGAAAATCATAGGTAAGCACTGAGACTTCCACTAAAATATCTACTTTTAGTTCAAGTATACATTTATTTATATAGTGAAGGAGTACTTGCATTTTATTTTTAAAACATTTCCACAATGGCTGTCAAAAATAAACAGATAAACCCTATTCCTCAGGATGCAAGCACAGCAAAGATCAGCTTTCAGCATTCCTATGTGGGGGCATGGGGTGGAAGCAGAATGTCAAAAGCAGCATTGTGGCAATGCCTCTGCGTATGTTTCACAAGTGTATGAAAAGGATGGAACTTACAGCACAACACCACAACACTGCTTTTAGCATTCTGATGAATACAGGAAGTTTCTGCAGATGCCCATTCCAGATTTCCTTCTGTTGTGCCCAGAGATCTCCTCACCTGCATTCTGGAACCCAACATTTGGGCACTCTCTCTCTCTCTTGCATTTGGGATCATTTAAGAGGCAACATGGGTGCCTTAAGTTTTGCAGATGCTTAAAGCACCTCTTTCCTCCCTCAAAATGCACTCTGTCCAGACCCACTTTTGGAGTATGGCTCTTAATGCATTATGCCAAGCCAGGTGTGATCCTTAAGGACATACATTCTGCAACCCTGCTTAGATATATGGTACCTCCAAATCTGCCCTAATGGCATGGGCAGGCTCATGCTGGCAAGAGTAGAGCCTGCTACAACCTGGTACCCTCCAGATGTGCTGAACTCATGCTGGTAAAGCCTTTAACTTGCATCCCAAATGTCTCTTTTCCATGGGCTTCTATATGTGCAAATTAAAAATGTGTGTGTGTGTGTGAGAGAGAGAGAGAGAGAGAGAGAGAGAAAGAGAGAGAGAGAGATTA